GTCCCATTGCACAGGGCGCCAATCTATTCGTGGGGAGCAACACGTGCTGGGAACTGGGCCCAGCGTCCGATATAGAAATTTCCATAGAATTGAAAGTTCGAGATACCGGGGCCATTCCCCGACTTTGGCTAAGAAAAATTTGAAGTACTTAGAAAAATTACTACAACGAAATTCAGAAACCAACTCCCCAACAATCCTCTTTACCTCACTCCGGCAAGACTTACTGTAGCACAGTCACCATCTCCGCTGCTGCTGTACCCTATTTCCATCCTACAAGCTAGCCCCCTCGCTAGTAGGACGCTTGATATTTTGTTGTTATGTTTAACTTGTCGAACTAAGAAAAAAAATGATTATGCTACACTATTTTTTCATACTTTCATTGACTCATCAAAACGTTGCCTCGACAGTCCACCGACGATGCATTTGACTGATTGACAGTCACAAATAAAGACTTACCACATCACCTACAGTTAGCGACACCCTTTATAAAAATGCTTGTCTTTCCTCAATGTATGTATTTTGTCGCGTGCGCTTATGAATGTTAATATTTATATGTATGTATTAATTAATTTATTGACTCAATTTGATTGATTAATTAATTAAACTAATTGGTTGATTGATTGGTTTGAAAAATGCGCACATGTCATGGCACTTTTGTATTCAATAGTAAAGGAATAAAAAACAAAATCAGAGGCTATTACAATGTTCACCCCCTAATTTTAATGTTTTTGTCCCTCTTAAACCACCACTACCTCCGAGCTAGTTTTTGTCGATCCTAATTTCCATTGTGCACCAAGTTTTGCTGAGTCTGGGGTCCATTTTGTTTCTTTCATGATACTCTCAAGTAGATACCTTTAAACAAAAAAACACGGGCATACTTCCAAAAAACGATGTACTCGAAACCCAAAAAAACAAAAAAAACAAAGAAACACCCCTTTGAACGTGATACCAAGTAGATACGTACCCCAAAGTTGTTGTGTGAGTATGCCCTCAAACAGGGGTGCCAAGTCCATGGAAGAAGAAAAAAATAAAAAAATAAAAATAAACTTAGGACGAGCAAGCGAGCTCATACATTTTGCAAAGCAGTAGTGTGGGCATGCCCTCCTTCACAAAGTGTTAGGAGCTTGTGGACTGCGCAGTGCCTCCCGCGCAATGCACAAAAAAAAAAAAAAAAAAAAAAAAAAAAAAAACGAAAACATAAAATTGGCCAGAACGGTAGTTACATACTTTCTTGTGAGTATTGGTGTGAGCACAACTTCGTGCACGGCATCCCCAACTTAGTCTTCTGTTTTTCTTTTCGTTTTTTGAACGGGCCCACAAAACCCATTTGTCTTGCCTCCGCAGATCCTCAAAAAGTTCAAAAAAAGTTAGATAACTAACATTTTTCTCATTTTTCCCAAGAGTGACAGAGGTAAACCAACAAAACCTTTGTGCCTATTTTTTTTAAGGTTGGATTTAACTGTCACCGCGCTCCGAGTTTTGTTGAGCCTTGGCACCACTCCATTTCATTTTCTCCTCCTCTCATGGAAAGAGGGGGGAAGTCGCGGCGGTGAACTTCACAAAAGAAG